ACACATGTACCATTAAAAGAGGAAAAGGGGTGAGAAGATGGCTAAAGTCAGGAGGAAAAAAAAAAAAAGTGCAGCTATCTGTGATGCTGTGTCCTCAATCTGAAAGAGATTTTTCTAGCTGACTGACTCAAATGTAATTAACTCCACGTAAGGTTGGTCTTTCCAAATATCCTTGCTGTCCTGATCCTTCCCGACACATTGGCCTGGATAATCCAATCTCCACTGTTCCCAGATCTTTCCTCTTGTTTTCTGGGAAAACACATGGGTAGAGCTGACATGGTGCTTGTGGAGAAGAGCACGTCATGGGGGAAAACAGTGAAGGACAATCATTTCCTCCACTGAGCCAATAAATTCCTCTTCAGGGTCTCTAAACATGGACAGGTGTGCAATTATTTGCAGCAAAGGAATCATGTCAAATGTGTAATTTACACAGTAAAACTCTACAAGTTCTCAAAATACAAATCTCAGTTCTCCAAAGTGAATGCTGAAGTCTATCCTCACAACACTTAAGGAGACTTAAAAACCCAAAACCAAACCCGCTGCCATCGAGTCCATTATGAGTCACTGGGACCCTTCAGGACAGAGCAGAACTGCCTTACAGAGTTTCCAAGGCTGTAAATCTTTATAGAAGCAGACTGCCCTTATCCCTCTCCTGTGGAGAACCTGGTGGCTTTGAACTGCAAACCTTTTTGTTAGCAGCCTAATGCGTTACCTTCTGCACCACCAGGGATTTCAATCAATAAGAGACATGAAAACTTACTTTAATACATACATATGTTCATGGGCAAGCCAGGATATGTAAGCTCCACAGACCAAGGGACCACACTTATTTCATCTAACAATTTATTTTCATTAATCAGCCAAAACAATAGAGCAAAGCTGATGAGTGAAGTATTTTTGTTCATGAAAATAATAAAAAGATAAACGATGCCATTCTTACCTACAGAGGCCAGGTTTCTCAAGGTTTCCATCATCACGTCTCTGTAGAGTTGCCTCTGAGCAAGATCCAGCAGCGCCCACTCTTCCTGGGTGAAGACCATGGCCACGTCCTCCACGAACACCGAGTCCTAAAACATCCCACACATTCTAGATAAGCAAGGTACCGTGTACGCCAATGTGTGTAAGAACTGAGGGTGAGGCTAACAGTGCTGGGAAACTGAGAATGGACAGGGATTGGACACAAGGTTCTCTGTCCTGCCAAGGTCCACTACAGCCCACAGCCATCAGCTTCAACCCTTCAATAACAACATTCATTTCCACACTGACTGCATCGAGTCCCAACTCACTGAAATGTATCTCCACAGTCAGATTGTGACTACTGCAGTCTCATTACTCTCTTCATGGTCTAGAATAGTGAGAAAACAGCAGAAAATAGATAAACGCTCTCATTCAATCATCACTTCCTTGAAAACAAGCAATTACACCTCCTTCCATAAGGCCCACAAAAATACTCAACAAAAGATAAAGCACAGGTGAAAAAAAGAAAGCGGTATTAACCAAAAAACCAAACTCACCGCCATCGAGTCGATTGTGACTCATAGCAACCCCCTTTGGGTTTCTGAGGTGGTAAATCTTTACAGAAGTAGATTGCCCAGTCTTTCTTCTGCGGAGTGGCTGGTGGGTTTGATCTGCCCACCCTCTGGTTAGCAGTCAAATGCCTTAGGCACTATGCCACCAGAGCTGCTTGGATGAGGTATCAGCAACTGGGAAATACTGCCAAATGACAATGTGTCCTTTTGGCCCACAGGAACACCAATGGCCTGCTTAGACAAACCAGTATCCCAAGGCCCTGAGCTGGTCACATTTTCTTGAACATCTATAGGAGATCAAGAGGTGACAGGTCGCCAGCTGAGGAAAAAATATTATTTTAGACAATTACAAATTTTTACACATCAGTCACCTATTTTTCAAAAACTCAGCTGTTCTGCCATCCTCTTTGTCCCAGTCATAGAGACAGGGAAAGAATAATTAAAAAGAGCTCAGGTGAGACAGGAAGCGGGGAAATCCAGAATTCCTTATGATCCTCAAAACTCGAGGCCTGATATACTGTACACCAATTACTAGTAATTGCTAAACACACATGAACTCATCCACGCTCATACACACAGTCTCATGTTATGATCTGGAAAAGAGCACTACCTGGCCAGAAACAAGACAGCAAGCCCTTATGTTTGCTGACTAACGTTAAGATTCCCATTTTTTAATGACTGCACAACACAAAACATCAATGTGATCAAATAATACAGATAAACATTGCATATGCATTGTTACATATAATTTTACTCCCCCCCCAAAAAAAGTTAATTTTCTAAGTATGCTGAACTGCAGACTGTCTGCCTGTTAAATGGCCCATGAAGCCTAGGACAGAGATGTACTCACCAGCCCTAGAAGTGGCACTCAAATTCTCTCACATCCACAACCCCTGGAAGGCACACACTGTGACTACCTGAACCCTAAACAATGGAATTCCCCGGTGACCTCTTTGAAATACAACAGTCCACTGGCTTCCATTCAGCGAGGAAAGAAAGAAAAGGCAGCTGAATTCACTGAGGGTCACACAACAGAGCAGCTTTAAAGACAGAAGAGTTCTCCTGTCAGGGAACAGGTGAAGGGAGCCATCTATGTCACCTCTAATCAATGCTGTTAATATGATGTTGCACAAGCTCTGAGACAGAGCAAAATTCAAAAGACTCTGCCACTGCAGTGGGTGACATATTTTAATCTAATCGGAAACCCTAATGGCCATTATACAATATACCCCCCAAAAAAACACAAAAAACTAAGCTCACTGCCATCAAGTCAATTCTGACTCATAGCGACCCCTCTTTGGGTTTATGAGGTGGTATCTCTACAGAAGTAGATTGTCCAGTCTTCCTTCTGAGGAGTGGCTGGTGGGTTTGAACAACCAGCCGTCTGGTTAGCAGTCAAATGCCTTAGGCACTACACTACCAGAGCTCCAATTATACAATATAGTAACAATGAAACATCCCATCTATTAAGCAAATATGATCTGTGAAATGTTTCATAATAAGCTTTCAACACATTTGCTCATTTCTATCTCTTGACTCTCCAAAGCAGATATTACTTGCACAGTTCCTCAAAAAACTAAATTTGTTTCCATCAAGTTGATTCCAACTCATGACAACCCCCAATGGGTTTCCAAGGCTGTCAATCTTTATGGAAGCAGACTGCCCCATTCATCTTTCTTCTATGCAGTGGCTGGTAGGTTTGAACCATCAGTTTTTTGGTTAGCAGCCAAATGCCTACTCATAAAATTAGAGACAATCAGTTAATCCCATGCTCAATGGTGCTTACATGCGACACTGCTGAGCCAAGGTCAGAATGCAGTCGACTTCGTCTTTGAAGCCTACGTTCCTGACAACTCATTTCTGTTTCTATGTGGACAGTTCTGTGTTATTCTGGCTGTTATTCCCCACTGACACCAGGGATGAGCAAGAGCCCTCTGGACACTCGGGGGAGGAGCATCCTAGCCAATTCACACAACCTGGAACTACTTCTACTGGCAAAGCCTGGGGTCTCAGACAAGAATCTACCAACAACAACACATGAAAGTATAAAGAAAAGCAAAGAGGTGATCATCGTAACATTGAGATCCTGAATCCATCAAAAGGGGAGAGTGAAGACTGTGACCAAAATCAACTCAAGGGAGGCTGTGTCAGGAGCCACCTCTCTGTGACATGCACATCCATTTCCTATATCCCTTGAATACACACGTGAAAGAAATGTTTCTGCATTTATGTCAAAACATCTCTCAAATTGAGAAATGGAAAGAGACATGTAAAAGAGCCATATATAAAACTTAGACACCGCAAAGAACACACACACAGAAAAAGCCCCCATTTTTCTGGTCAGAGCAGACAGAAAACAAGGAGCCATGTATTCCATTCCTATTCAATCCTAAAGTTTGTAAAGTTTACTTTATCCTAAAGGCTGTAGCTGATTCATGCCAAGAAAAATAAATACACAAAAAGCAAAGACATAAGAATATTAAACTGGGGGGTGGTTACAATAGAGGGCGAGCCCCACTCCATTTTACTTTACAGATTAAACAATTTTATGCGTAGAACCCAAAACATGGTGCAGATGATTATAGGACTGAAGAGGTTTTAGTAAATGTTGTGATTACAAAATAAGTGCAAAAAGGTATACTTCAAATATTTCACTGATATATACTAATACCAAGCAGTTGAGAAATAATATGTATTTGAGTAAAAAGAAAAGATATTCACAAGGAGTGTGATTAAGTAAATTAAAGAGCTTAATGTAAAAAATTATAAAACACTAATAAATGACATCTAAATAGACAGAAATAAATAACAAGTTAGAGCACGCATTTAGAAAACTGTTCTCCCCATGTGGATCATTATTCCCAAGGTACTTCATAAAATTCCAAGAAATTTAACTATTTTTTAGATCTTCTCTTAAAAAATACTTAAAATGTTTATTAAAAAAGTACAAACATCCATGAATATCAATATATTCTAAAGAAAATGGCTAGGGTCTCATCCAAACGTGTTATATACATAATTATACTTTACATATTTACTTTATAAGTAAAGCTACAATATATTAGTATAGTAGGAGTATAGGGATATACACACAAACCAATGGAGAAAAATCACCAGCCCAGGAGAAGGCTCACCAGTCCACACAAACCTGATTCCTGACCCAGCAAGCAACGCAGGGCAGGGACAGAAATGTTATCACTTCAATATGTGGGGCGCTGCCAACTGAACGGAATCCCCGAGTGCTGTACAGGGTTAAATGCCCTGCGATCAACAGAAAGACTGGTGGTTTGAGTCCACTCACTGGCACCTCCAGCAAAAGGCTGGGAGATCTACTTCCCAAAACTCAGCCACTGAAAACCTGAGAAAGTGCAGTTTCTGGAAACACACAACTGACTCCACAGCAACTCACTTTCTGTAAACATCAATTAAGTGTCTAACTGGAATAATTAATCTACTCTCATGTACTCCGTATGTAATATGTCAATTCCAGACACATTCGTTTAAAATGTAAAATGGTAACTTATAAAAATTATAAGCAATATTAACTTATGACATGACAATAGAGAAAAACTCTTAAGAGTAAAACCTAAGGGAAGAGACTAACAAATTCAACGAGATTAAAATTCACAACTGTTCAAAGGGCACAGGACATGAGGGAAAAGACAAATTATCTACTAGAAGAAAAATTCCCGCAGTTTGTAAAGAAGAGCTAAAAAGGCACAGACATAGAAATGAACAGAATGATGTTTGTTATGCACAGCTTCATCAGTAGGGGAGTTGCTGTTATAATTAGGTGCCGTCAAGTCAGCTCTGACTCATAGTGACCCTCTAAACGACAGACCGCAACACTGCCTGGTCCTGTGCCACCCTCACAATCCTTGCTATACCTGAGCCCATCATGGCAGCCACTGTCTCAATTCATCTTGTTAAGGGCATTCTCCTTTTATATTGACCCTCCACTTTACCAAGCATGATATCCTTCTCCAGGGAATGGTTCCTCCTGACAACATGACCAAAGGAGGTAAGACCAAGTAGTGGAGTAGTATAAGAAAAAAAAAAAAAGCAAAAATCTGTTTTCACACTCTTTACAAGAGCAAAAATGCCTTCGATAAGCAGATGGAACAAATGAACTCCAAATGCTTACTTAGAGGGAAGAAAACTTTTAAAATGCATCAGTATTTTCCAGTAAACAAGAACATGATGATGGTCTACAATAATACTATGGTCCCTCACTATACATAGAGCCTGGAGAGAAAATGAATGGAAGAGCAATACCCACACAGGCAAAAATGGCATGTGAACTATTCAAATCCTGGATGCCCTACAATGGCAGGTAGATTATGGGCATTCACACAGTGGGGACATGCAGACATAGGTACATGGGTAGACCAAAGCTACAGACACGAGCATGTAAGAAACTCAAAAGCACGCTGAGGAAACAAGTCATTGAAGAAACAGACAGAGGAATCACTGACCTTAACAGAAAGCTCAGGAAAGTGCTGGAAGATGAGCCCATCAGGTTGAAAAGCACTCAAAATGTGACTGGAGAAGAACAGACTCCTCAGAGTGGAGAAGACTTTAACAATATGGATAGAGCTGGCTGAAGTGGCATGACTCAAAATGAGCATAAACAGATGAAAACCTCCATTAATAATCGGAACATGGAATATACAAAGTATGAAACTAGGAAAATTGGAAGTCATCAAAAATGAAATGGAACACATAAAGAAAGACATCCTGGGCATTAGTGAGTTGAAATGGACTGGTTTTGACCATTTTGAATTAGACAACCATATGATCTATTATGCTGGGA